GAGAGGAAAGAGTACAAGAGAGAAGGGGAGTGGAGTTGGTTTTAGGGGGTGTAGTTGGAATAAACTAATTAGAATTATAAAACTGTTTATAGAAGTAAGACCAAAATTAGTTCTGTTTGATGTTTATTCATTGAAACATGTACTTGTTTTCTTGTTGCAGCTGTACCAGCGAGACTTGAACGAGGAAAGGCAGAGATTCATGTTTCTCCGGGATGAACGCTTAACAGGCAGTGGATTCAAGCATTTTGTAAGTATTCCCATAAAAGATGGTGAAAGTCTGTGTTTATTTTTTGTGTGAAGAATTCATATACATGGCTTTTTTTCTAAACTTCATATCAGATGAAGATATTCAAGTTCAATTTGTCTTTTGATTACTAAAGTTTAATTTTTAACTATGAGGGGCTGCGGCAATTTTTTTTTTTTTTTTTTTATTTTTTTACAAAGTCACCTTTTGAACTGGTATGACTAATACAACAAATTAAATTGCTAGTTTTGCTTTCACATATAATTTTTTGTCCTTTTTGAGTATCATTTGATTTATAATAAACTAGTGTAATTGTGTAAAGTTTACAAATTCTCTTTGGGATATCAAAAAATTACTAGTAATATTACATTACTGAAAATACTGAAAAAAATTATGGATTTAATGGCAGACGTGTTGGTGTAAGGCAGCCTTGAGTACTTTATTGTAAATGAAGAGAAACTGAATCTTCAAATATTCTTATAAATATATTAGTTTTGTTAGTACATTCAGTATTTTTGTTGTTGAAAATGACGTAAAATTCTTCTCTTTTGCCTTACAGGGTCTCGAAAACATCCCAGATGAAGAAACCTCTGAATAAGGACTTTTATGTTGTATAAAATTATATAGTTTAGCTGTATATAACAAGATCACTTATGGTTCTTTGTAATGCTGATGATTATTAAATTATAGACTCTTTAAAATTGTTTTATTTTCTGTCCAAAGGGTGCACTGGCAAGATGGTGTATCTGCATAAGTTTGTGATATATTAATACCATAATATATGGGTGTAGAAAATGTATTTTACATTATATACAAATCCAGATAAAAAACACAAGAGATTTTCTGTAAGTATAACCATATAGAGCTTCAGGAAATAAGATATGTTACAATTACTTTGATCATCTGATTCATCTAATATTGACATGACTGATATTACACATATTTCGTTACATCTTCTTCGAGACAGATTCCCTAGCAATGGGGGAAATATACATCTTGGGCAATCAATCCAAATTTAATTCCTATAACAAATGTCTCTTTGATCGGTGAACAAATAGTTGTGGACCTTCTGCAATAATAAAAGTTTATTCAATATTCTTCCTACATTTTGTTACCACTTACTCGCCTTGCATACATATAGCACATTTACTTGATTTGGGGGGTGGGGGGGCAAAAGAATATACAACAATACAAACTTGCAAACACATCTGTTTATAAAAATAGGCATGCATCTTACTACTTTTTTCAAATTTAAGCTATAAAGAGTATTATGTATATGAATATAATAAATGGTTATTACATATAAACTTGGAGCAAATAGTATATAATAAATTTTGGCCAACAATTTATGTTGGCTATCTGAATATTAACAATATAATTGTATATTACAGTGTATAGTCTGCGAACCAACAGTATATACTGCACATTACATATTTTTCAAAATACAAAATTACAACATACTATAAATGATGGATGATATTCAATTGAAACAAAACAAAATATGAAAAAAATATAAAGAATAGTGTAATTGACTAGAATACAAAATAGCATCAACTAAATATATCTTGGTAAACTGTTGTCAAAGATAATTTGTCTTAAGGTCTGTCATCATGCACTTCGCTTCAGTGGGATACATTAAATCAAATTTCTTTTAACATACTGTAGTCCTATCTAGAAGATAAAATTTACATTCTTGAGTATTTTCTAAAGTAAATTGCAACCTCAGCTTACCCGGACTTGACCATTAATGTGGCAATGTTTGGCCATTGCAAACGGAATGCAATGGAACAACCTATGAATTTGGAGAGACTCTTAATAAGACTGGCATTTATAATCTTAATAGCTACCTAAATAGATTTGGCATATACATGTTCTCTATAGTTTGTTATTATTATTATTATTATTTTGTTTTACCATCGTTACTATAATTTACGATTATTATTGTTTATGATAGAAAGAACGGAAAACTGAATTTCCATAGATTACTATTTTAACCCATTGGCAAAAGGAATGCACTGTCCAATGTGGTTTTATTTTCTTAACCTGATGCTGCCAGAGATGACATGTCTGTACATGCCATGCCCACTGTGAATTTAGTTTATTAATTGTATTTCGTCACCAAAGAGCCAATTATTAGTACTACTTATCTCAGCTGTTTACCCTTTTCCATGTTTTTTTTTTAAATCTTCTTTTATCTTATATTGCTGTTAGTAATGTCAATAACATTATAATAATTATAAGGTCCAGTACTTTAATTACTATAATAATTATAATAATAATAATATTACTAATTATATCGAGAGCATTAGTACGAAAAATTTTGAAGAAAACTCGAGGAAAGGTGAAATTTGGGGAGTTCAAGAGGTCAACTAATTGACTACTTGGTAGCTAAGCACTTGAGCCAGTTAAATTTGTTTACACAGAGTTAATTTTGTTGGCTTTACAAATGCTTACTCATCAATAAATTGATGACTAGGCCTACCTGACTCATCTCACCTATTACCATATTCTTATTTTTTTATTTTTTTTATTTATTTTTTTTTTTTTGAATGAAAAAAATGTTTGTATTACTCATTATAATTATATCCATTATTAATATTGTAACATTATGAATTATAATATCTGGAATAATAAAAAAAAAAGTTTCCAAAGATTCAAGGAAAAGGATAGCTGATGATGGAAAGGACGCTTAGTAACTGCCTCCTTGGTGCTTCTGAAGGCATTTATGGGTAAATAAAAAAGGACAGTGTATGTATATATGCACTTCTGGCATCAACAGGTTAATATAATAAATCAAGCAAAATTAACATTATTGCCTAACACCATAGAATACTCTTGTCAAAATCCTTTCAGTACAAGTAATAATAATTTTTTACATATATTTCTTTATTTATATAGTGTTTTACTAAATGGAATAACCAGTATTATAATTGGATATCCAGGATAATAAAATGTAAAGAATGTAAATAATCACTTCTATATGAGCTATACAATCCAGGAATTATTACAGGGATGAAAAGGGGTAATTTATGTACAGCAAATATCAGAGCAATGAAAAGGGGTACTTCGTACTGTGCCATGTCCAAGCACTATGAAATCTTAATCCCATGAATTCAGTAACCATTAGTACTGATAAATAACCTGATCTGATAATGTGGAACACATCTTTATCCCATTTTCAGCTACAATACATGAAAATTATCCATTTAATCTTAAATGGCTGTAAACTAAACCACTTCAACTTGCATATTTACTCATGCCCAACTTTGCAATGCAGCACTCTTGTATAACTCTGGAGATATAAACAAGAAGACACACAATTCTCCTGACTAGGCGGCATGTCAATCCGTTAATCACATAATAGAACACTGTTCAGCCTGAGGTTGTTGCTGATCTGACGGTGCAGCATTGGGATCTTGTGCTGCTCCATCCTGGCCGCCTGGGAATCCAGCTGCTCCAAGAAGAGTGGACATATCGGGCAAGATGGGATTGCCGGCGGCGTCAAAGTTGATCACTGGGCCCATGTCGCCTACCAGCTCCTTTGGGGGTTGTCCCATTTCCTGTAGCTGTAGGGTGGATGTGGGTGTAATCAGTGGTGATTATATTATAGAAAGATAGTCCGAGATGTGCAAATTGTGATTCTGTTGTACTGACGAATGTGAGAGAGCAATGTTCCTGAACAATATTTTTGGACTTGGCTGATATCATATAGTAACAATTCAAAGTATTTCCCAGTAAAATCACATTTAACCCACTGGATATGAGTGACATGACCATCACATAACGAAATTTGGCTGAGGGCCGGGTGACAGAAATGACATCATGTGTGCACAAGGCTCTTGCAGGAAGATCAGACTCAGTGGGCATTTAATCCTATGCCGCAAGGTGGCATGTATGTAGATGTTATGGCAGTTGTGGGTGGCATATCATGACCATTCCCACGCCGTTGGCTCATTGGACAGATTTTTTCTCTGATAGTGGCATCATACCTTTAATTAAGGTAATAGCACCTAGAATGAAGGAAACCTTCAACAATTTTATATTTTAAAAAATTATATCAAATCACTAGCATTTAGATGCCTAATGTTGCCTGCAAATTACCGAATGAACTGGTACAAACAAGGGAAACTATTGATGTGGGCAACAATCCTGCGACCATGTCCACTTGCCAAATTTTTTTACCTGGTGTTATTGGGTTAAAGAGCTCTTGTATTATTTCCACAGGTAAATGAGTGTGCCTGTGAGACATTGTTGAAAGAGGGGCTAGTTTGATGAACAGGTAGGCAGATACACCTGTTCTCTCTTCAAAATTATGGTTCTTTTAAACAAACACTCATTACAAATAATTACTCGAAAGGAAACTTCCATCATGTAACACTCTACAAATAAGAGATAACACACAAACAATAATCTCTCTTATCAGTATGTCAAGAAGTTTCATATTACAGAGCAAAATTACACTGTCCTAAACTAGAATAAACCTTGTACATATTTTTGATTAGTAAATGTCAGGAGAACCAGTGTCCCATTGAGCAGCAGACCTGTGAGGGTAAAGTGTAGCGCAAATACTTTCCATACTACTGCTACTCCTGGTGCCCTTTGACTTTTTAATTCCTAAAACTGTAACTGTAAAATTCAAATAGCAACTGCGTCCACAAAGTGCTCAACCTATCAGAAACAATTATGGCTTCAAGTTATTATATATTATCAGTTCCTGAAGCATTTGTACGTGACCCTCTGTTTCATATATTTTCCTCCTAAGTCCTCTGACAAAACCTCTAGCCCCCATGCAAAATATTCTAGATCTGCCATTGATGTGACAAAATAAAAATAAAAATAATGAAGAATCTTACAAGGAACAACATCCTCTTATCTTCATTTCTAATTGTTCATTTCTTAAGTGTATCATCAAGTGCCCAACTAATACATTTTTGCCTATGTCAAAGTATTAGTTACAAAGGAGACTTTCCAAGCAACGACGAGTCTGTAAAACCTTCAACTCTGAAATGTTCTTTTGGATTTCCTTCTGTACAAATAATACAAACCCATATATCACTTTATATACTTTTAAGTCGCTCTTGACAGTCAGGATCTCTGTAATATATAAAATCACATTTCAAATTATGAAATGAAAGTAACGCATAACACAAACCTTTTGCATATGCTGCATGATTTTCTCAAAGCGCTGTCCCTTCACTTCATCGGAATCAGTTTCGTTTTCTTCTTCATACATTTGCACAAGCTGAAATAAAATAAATCATTAAAAAAATCTAGTGGATGTACAATACAGTTCATACAACAAATTATAAAGGAAATCTTACACAACAATAATGGTGTAATGACAATAGTTATGGGACAGTATGTGACAGTAAGAGAAGAATATTAATTCATTTCACATAAGTAATGCATGTTCTTTTAGGAAAATATTCTAGGGTATTATAATATTATTGCAAACAAAAAATTCTAGAAGCAGAATAAATCTTTAAAAGAGATGAATATTGTTTATAATTACTATTAATAATCTTTTTACTAATGAATACACTTCAATACTGGTTTTGTTCAAGATATTTATGAAATATCCATGAATGCTTCTCTGTTTTAGTACAAATCCTTTAAGGTCTATGGTAATGTAAGTGCCTTATCAAAATTACAATATACATATGATATTACTGAAGATTTTAATTACTTACTCATAATCTAC